ATTATGCATTCATTATAATGCCTTAAGAATACCCTTATAATGTATTATAAATATGGGCTTCATAGAAAGTGTTACCACGACTTTTTATGGTGCTTTTTGTAAAAGAATTTGAACTGTGAGTATGTTTGGAAGATTTGATATGCTGTAGCTAGTCTTACATCATCTAAAGAAAAGAAAGATAATCATTACCTCAGTGAGATTCTTGTAGTACAGACACTCCTCTCTCCTCTTACTATTTTCAGGGGAAGGCGTTTTATTACCATAACCATAACCATAGCCATCATAATGTGAATATACATACACACACGCACACATACAAATATATAGTAAACCAGCAAAACTAGAACTGTCAAAAACACAAATGCCTTTGATAGACACTTACCAGACAAGAAGTGGGAAACTTCGCTGAGAGAATACACATGATTCCAACTACAAGGAACTATAATAGTAATAAAAAAATGCTTTTGATTTTGAACATATCAGTACTTTTTGACAGGCACTGCACAACTTTATAAACATAAAAATGATCAAAATGAGACTTGTCGTACCACACTACCAATCCAAAAGGGTCCAAAGGCTGTTCTATACATGATAAACCACGACCCAAGGCATGTAAACACAATCCCCACAGCAATATTGAGGACACCAATTATCATCTGCACAATCTATGGAACAATAAAACAAATTAAGAAAATACCAAGTTGGTACAATGACATTGTAACTCAACCAATCAAATTTCTGCTGTCAGTGTGGACAAGCAAACATTTTTTAATAGTATAAATAAGTATTTGCACAATGTTTCCAAAAAGTTTCATATTGTTTTAATAAATTACATTTAGTTGCATAAACTAAAAAAATTGCAACTAAAATGTACATTTTCCAAAATTAATAATTTTAACTAATCCAAAAACTGCACATAATGTTACAGAGCCCTTAAGGGGACATAGTTACTGGGGGGAAAAAAATATGAGATAGGAGAAAAAATTATATTTCAATAATTTTGCGAACTCTCACAATGGTTTTATATTCCTTCAAGATACTTTGTGTTTGCTTACAAATCCAGTGAAATACAGTTTTTCCTCTCACTTCATGTTCTTTCCATCACAGAAGTATGGAAGCTTGTTTGTGCCATGGAATAAAACAAAGGAAAAAGTAATTGGGACTTTTTATCTTACTTTTTTCTCACAATTCTGAGTTTATACCTCACAATTTGGATTTTTTTTTCTCACAATTCTGAGGAAAAAATTCTGAATGAACTCTGACTTTCTGATTTTTGACTTTCTTACAATTCCAAGGTTCTACGTCAATTCTGACTTTTTTTGTTTTTGTTTATGCAAAAAAAAAAAAAAAAAAAAAAATGAATTGCCAAATTTCTCTTACAATTGTGAGGAAATATGTCTTGTAAGAATTGTGAGGTAGTTTGGACTTTTCTTCTCAGAATTGTGTGGGTTATATCTTGCATTATGTTTTTAACATTAAAAAAAAAAAAGAAGGTAATTGTGACTTATCTCATAATTCAGAATTTTTTTCTAAAAAATTGTTTTTTTACTAAACTAAAAAGCAAAAAAACTATAAACTAAAAAATATAAACTAAAATGTTTAAACTATGTGATATAAATTTAGAATTGAGAGAAAAAACCTTAAATTGTGAGATAAACAGTCACTTTTTACCTTGTTTTATTATTTTTTTTATTTTAATCCTGTGGTGGAAACAATGCAAGTTTTTTGGGTAAATGCAAAAGTTTGGTGAGTAAATGCAGAGTTTCTCAGTGAAAAACAACAGTTTAGCAAGTGAATGCAAAAGTGTTGAAATATCATTTTCCCCGTTTTACCAAAACCATGTCCCTTTAGGGGCTCCATAGGTGTTTTAAAAATGTTTTTAAAACATTATCCTAACATAATCTAACTCAGGGGTCTCCAATCCTGCTCCTGGAAATGGCAACATTAAGAAACGTAAAAACGTTGTAAGCATCTTACATGGAATGTTTACTAAGTTCTGTCCAAAAAAATATACAAAGTATGCGAAAATCACAAGACCTGAAAAAAATCAGAAAGGTATTTTGGAATTAATGTAAATGTCAAACTCACTCCAAGAGCTGTGTGGACATCCTTCAGCTTCCCTTTCATACCCTGAGATACAGAACACACTGGACTGTAGCAGAGAAAACCCAGAATCTGACACAGTACGGGCCATTTGCTCTTTGGGTTTGAGGTGACGGTGATGACGGTCAGTCCTTCACCCCGAGACACTGTCAGAGTCATGCTGCAGCGCTGAACAGATGTAGTAGGCAGTAGGTAACAATAGCCAAACCTTCTAGACTGCAAGAAACAAGAACAGCAAATGATTACCATTGCAGGAGAATCAGTTTTTATGTACATATATTCATATTCTGAAGAGAGAGAAAAAGAACTTTAACAGATTAAATGGACTCAATGTTGTTTTTTTTTACTTTTATGATAGAATATAAATTAAATGTTACATACAATATGAATATATTTGATTATCAAAACAGCTTTGCTGAGTTAAGTGTTCCTGCCTACATAAAAGTTTTTGTAGGAGGAAACAGTTGAGGTGATGAAAGCAGTTTAACCACAGTTTGTTTGTTCATTATCCTTACCATTCTTGTGCTTTTTATTTTTGTTTTGTTCATTAAATTATTCATTAAATTATTGTTAATAATCTTAAGAAACACTGTGTTAACTTAAACTCACCTTGTGTGGCATGTCTATGAGTCTCAGTCCAGATGAGTGAAGACGGCACAATGTTTTTTTTGTTGTTGTTGAAGGTGGAGTTTTGATTTTTCCTGGCAGTGACTTCCTTAAATCTGTAAACAAGTATAACAGGAATGTTGTTCATGATTCAATTCATGTTTAGTAATAATATTAAGCAAGGTTGTTAATCATATTAAATGTTAGGCTACTTACCTTCACTCCACAATGTTGAAAATCATACAAAAGAAAGATTTTTAAAGGGTTTCATGGCAAATCTGAAATATAGCTTCTGCAAATTGTTGATTATTTTTATCAAATTATTATTTATTAAATCTTTACCCATTTTGCGCCTGTGTTGTTGTTATTATCATAGGCTCTGCTTGTTTGCGACCCTATAGGCTAATTTGCGCTGCTTTTTTGCATTGGTCATTATGGAAATGCTCTGAGTGCATCTATGATCATTAATTTTGCGCATTATTACATTATCAGTTGATCATCCGCAGAACTTTCCACACACATCAATGCTTTTATGCAATTGTGTTCTTACGCTAATTTGCCCTGTTTAGTCAATCTGGCCCTTTCAGTGTTGCAGATGGAAGGAGATCTGCTTTAAATTATTTTACTACAATATTGAGAGACAAAATGTCATTCTGTTACAAGCAAAACAAATAACTTTGATTATCTGTGATCATCTTACCATGCAGCTTAAGTTCTAGATCCTCCACCGAGTGGAAAACCACAAACAAACATGAACACACAGAACAGCTCTCTGATTTTGACTGACTGATTGTTGTAATAGTGCTGATGATACACTACCTTTGCATTTTCATCCTTTTTGCACAAAGCTTTCCCAGTCAAAACACAGAAACTGATGGTCACACAGATCTGAAGGACCGACAGCGCTATCATCATGATATAGGTATACAGACTAGAACTTAAGCTATATGCAAACAAATTCTCCACCGCAATACTGATGACACTAATTATAATTTGCACAATCTATGAAACAAGAGAAAAATACATTGTTGCCACCAGCTGTCAGTAATCTTAAAAATGTCAAGATATAAAATTAAGAATGTACACAGCTACTGCAATGACAGCTTGAGATAACATTTTTACTTAATACATACTTGATCATGACAGGCTTCCAATTTTTTGCAATGTATACAAAATATCTTATTTTAGTCATATAAAATTAACCTGCTAAGTGGCCACAACCATGAAAAGTTTCAGTGCATTGTTTGTGTTAATTTAATGTTCTTGTATTAACATTTGCAACTAAAAGCTGGAAGAGTTACAGCTTAGTTCTAATCATTTTTGAGGATCCATATCCATAAATTGCATGTCATGTTTTCAGCACTTAGGTGTTTCAAAAACATTTTAATACATTGTGCATCATAACCTAATTGTGAAAAATATTTTAAGCATCTTAAATCTGACCTTTTTTAATGCTCAAATCAAATCTATCCAAAGCATTCTAAAATCAGAAGGCCTGAAAATATAAACTTTTTTTTTTTGCAATTTTGCGATTAATATCTGATTCACTCCAAGAGCTGTGTGGATGTGTGTCAGCTTCTCTTTCTCTTTCATATATTTTCATATTTATGACGTCAAACCCTCATTATGAGACACTGTTAGAGGCATGCTGCAGACGGGAGTGATGGACTTCAGACTTCCCACAAGATAAAGGCAAGATAAGGCTCATGCATCAGAAAAACACAAATCCCAAAAGATTTTTATGTAAATTCCTAACATTTTGTTCCCGTTCACAAACAAGTTCTAGAACATTTGTGATAATTAAACAGCATTGCTGACTGTAGTTTTCTCATTGACTGCATCAAAGTTTCTTTAATAAGTGAAGGCTGATGTGTGCTTGCTAAAAAGTAGTCATTGATAATCAAGTCACACCTTTTACATTGTTCTTACTTTTTAATAGCATGTGAATTTTACAGATCTTAAGAAACACAGTAAACTCAGACACACCTTGTGTGTATACTGTATGTGAACCTAAAGTTTTAATCTGCAAACTGCCTTCTCTGTTGTTTTATTGTCATTGCAACAAATGAGCAACATTTTAATGAGAATGAACAAGCAGAATACAAATTCCAAATTAATAAAAAATTGGAAAACTTGTGATTGAATGAAAGGAAGGCAATTTAAGTTGATACATTTATATGTGAAAAGTAAGTTGGGCAAAACAGAATGGTGTAATCACAATACAGACAAAAGAACTTACTAAATAAAACAAATAGGCCTTGAGACCTAAAAACAGTGATTGTGCATTGCATCAGCCATGAGCTTGCCCAGCTCCTCAACACCTTTTCATATTCAAATGAATCGCCATGAGAATGCAATTTGTGACAACTTAGACCTTATTGCAGATGGAAAATTTCTCACATGAGTTGTGATTTGACCATGTACTCCAAATATGCTTGCAGTCATTGGATGTTAACAACTTCAGAGTCTCTCATTGGCTTTAAGACGGACTAGTTGTTATACATACAATGTACATGTGTGTACTACTGTGACTACA